GCGTCTGGTCCTCCGCCGTCGGAAGAAGATTAAGAACTGATCTTGTCTCTCTCGGTCCTACTCGGTTGCAAGTGTGTGAACGGTGCTTAACTCGCTTACCTGTTTCTAGCACTGAGGAAAAGCAAAAGCCAATTTTCAGTGTTAGAAATGAGTTTCTGCCCGTTTGCAGCACTGGAAAGACAGAAGCTTCACACAAATGATAAAAAAATTAACTAATGAACCAGAAATTCATGAGACAAGTGCTGCTACATTCCATAGTGGATTCTGTCAGGTCCAGGTGCCGACTGCTTTTTTGACCCAAGGGCCACCTCAAGTTCGCACATGGTAAAAAGCTGGGTGTATACAAGAGCATCTGATCAAGACATAGCAATTTGCAGCTTTTCTGCTGTAGCTCTTAACTTTTGAATTTTATAGTGTAATAAGATGAACCAGAAACTTCACAAAAATGTTCCCCAAAAACATTTGCCCGGCACTTCAAAGTTGGCGAAGGCGAGAGTAAAAGAGGTGACCAAAAAGAGAGGTAGTTGCCCCGAATTTCTCTCACTCAATCCCACACTTTTTTTGAAGTGACCAAACTATTCACCTTGGAAACACATTGCATCCACGTGCTTTTCTATGCTTAAGTTCCTCGTCCAAGTACCCTTTGTTTTACATTTTTATTAACTCTATCTTGTTCCAGACCGTTGAGTAGTGGTAAAAAGTGTCCCAGGCCACGTTCTGAGATCTAAGCGTAACAGTACAGTCAAATACAATGTAAACCAATACTGGCACCTGTAATAACATTGTTTTGTAAGCCCGAATAAACGGGGCAAGTAGGGGGGACAAAAGAACATGGTTAAAATCGCGCACAAAGAGACGAGGACAAACGAGGAAGGAACACAGAACACAGACAGGCGCGCACTCACAACTGTAGTATATTAAGTGAAGAAGAGAAAGATGAAGCACTATATTTCACAGGGGACAACGTCACTAGAGCCACTCTATATGGCAGCGTAGCTGCCAGAGTAGCGACACGACGCAAAATTATCTAGATGCACGACGTGAGATGCGCTGATAGTGATCTCCATTTTGGGCCTGAGAGGTTGCCATGGTAACCGTGCTTCTAGCGACGCCGGGCGGCAACCTTTGTAGTCTAGTTGATATCTCCATTCGTTCATTGAAAAGTGGTATAAGACGCTTGGCATGGCGGTACGGCAAGAACCTCTGGAGGAACGGTGCCTGTTTTTTTCTGAAAAGTGAGACGATTTGGAGCCCGGGGGCTGTCAGGCGACGAGAGCTGCTATATGGTATCGTACGTGCACGGACAAGGCGAGAGGTTTTCGGCGCCGCCGGGATGGCGGCCGTTTCGTGGGACGAACGTACCGTCCTAGTACTTTCGGACTTCGCTCCGAGGGAACAAAATTACGCCGGCCACGACAGGACGATTAGCTCGGGACATGACTGCTGCTCGACTGCCCCATAGTGAGCGAGTATATGTTTAGCATCATACTTCTTCAAGGCCCGATCATCCCTTCAAGATGAGATTTTCTCACCAACTGGTGAGGAGCGACGTCGACGGGGTTCAACCAAGAAGGACGGCATTGTGGTCTTTAGGGAATTGTTGACGCCATCAAAAGAGACGGACGCCGGATATAAGGTGTTCTTGCCGACAGGCCAAATGGTCGTTCGGAAGTTTACCGGCATTTAAAAACTCAATATCTTTATCTGGTGAAGCACACATATCCGTGTTAATGAGGCCACGAAATTATTTTTAAACTTCTTCTTCCTTACCTGTATTCCTCAACTCGAAAGAGAACTGTGAAATCACGCAGTCGTGACATGCTAGGGCACCGGTGCGATGACCCCAAGCTTTCACCGTGCTTTTTAAGCGCACCGTAGAACTTGGCATTCGCAAGTGATGATAAATTTTTCAGGACACTCATTGGCCAGGAACTCGAATTCAAATATCCATGGACGAATCGATTGCTGACGAGCGCATACATCCGAGCGACGCAGTTTTCGTGTCCAATGCGTGAGTTGGGGTCGGCTGACGACATTTTGGCCTTTGTAGGCATTCTAAAGAGGATATTCAGAACCATACACACATGATGATAACATCATAGCACACTGACATTAAGTAGCACAAAACGGGCCCAGCTACAGAAAATAAATATTACACTCGTAAGAAATAAATACGTCTGTAACTTGTTAATTACAAAGACGAACACACCTCTGAGCATCTAAGTTTAATAGTATGTGTTGATGCATTGCTATACAGCAGGACATTTCATATACGTCACTTGAGCAAACGCCAGTTTTTCACTTGAAAAACAAACCAAAAAACACTGCGATCAAATGCAAGCCATTGCAACGAAAGCAAGTTATATCAAAATCTTCAGAACTGCCAATTCGTAAAATTGGCGATTAGTAAAAAAGGTTAAAGATCGCAGGAGCTTCCTCGCTAAAAAATGCTGCGATTATTCGGTGACCCAGGGCTGAAACAATTTCCCTAAGGCCCTACACGCGCCGTATACCTTTCGTTATGATTCTCAGAAATTAAGACTTTCAAAGGAAGTTCGAAAAATGCGAAAATTTAATGCTAAAACCTATGTGGAGCGCAAGCTCGCCTGCTTCTTCTGCAGTGGTTGTGGTGACGTCAGAACCCCGAGATTTGAGTGGCTCCGATTGAAGGATAGTTTTTAGACCTCAAAGCAAGCTGCCTTTAGGTCTACCCACTATTCTTTATTCAGAGCTCGGCGTTCTGACGTCACCACAAACCCTGCTAAAAGAAGCAGACAAACTTGCGCTCCGCATATTGTAAAATCGTTGATTAGTATGCTGGGAGTTGTGTTAACATTTACACAGCGTGTAGTTGGTCAGCCGTTTCAAAGTTGCGACGAGTCACTCGCTGTAGATGAGCAATTTAGTCAATGCAGTATTACCGCTTGCCTGGGATCTATAGGTCTTTAACGTGCACCACGCAGTAGTGATACACAACCGCAAGCCGGTACGATGCTCATACATATCGAAACGGGCAGGGGTGGTGATTAAATCCAGGTTCCCTGGTTGATTAGTACAAAACGTAAACAACGCAGAAGCTTCCTCGCTAAAAGTTTGTGATCATGCGGTTACCTGGCGCAAAAACAAATTCTCCAAGGCCCAACATGCGACGCATAGATTTCGCATCGATTCTCGGACACTCCAACGTTCAAAGAAAGCTAAGAGAATGCGAAAAATGCATACTAAATGTCTTATCGATCCTCAAACACATCCGGAAACCCGAGCACCGCTGAGGCGATATTACTGATGCTGTCGCAAAGGTGCTAATATCCAGAGCGATCTTGCACAGAAAGGGTATAAAGTATCATTCTTTCAGATCTTCACGTTATACCTACGTCAGAAAGCACGAAGAAGCCCTAAATCGTCGGCAAGCTGCGGCACATCACGACTCCGCGCACCGAACGAACTCGCATCCACCAGCTCTGGGCGCTGCTATCTTACCGATGACATCACGGCTGTTGAGAGGTCACGTGACGAGTCGTCACTCGGTTGCTATGGAAACCGAGCCAGCTCAGCTCGTTGCTATGGTACCGCGTGTGACCAATCGCGGTGAGAGGCGGCACAGGGAAAAGCGTGGCGCTACTCTGGCAGCTACGCTGCCATATCGAGTGGCTCTAAACGTCACCAGGGGGGAAACAGATCATCCGCAGTTAAATGATCGCAAGAAGGCAACTTCTTTTTCGCTCAAGACTACCGACGGCTGGCTAACGCAGCGATCGGTCAGGCTCAAGATGGTGAACGCCTCGAGCACCTCGCGCGTTTGTTTGTCTTTAAAGCGGCCAATGATTGATGTTTTTTTCTAAAGATGGTGTGCACATACAGGTTTTACAGTGCACCGAAAGGTGACCTCCTACATTGGATGTTAAAGAAAATTTATGCACTCGTAGCCGGTCATTCAGACACCGTCCCGTCTGTCCAACATAGAATCTTCCACATGAAAGAGGAATGCTATATACAACGCCCGATGAACAGGGAACAAATGGCCGCACATGTTCTTTGTGGCACGTGTTTTTTGATAATTTTTCCGCCTTTTCACGAACCTTAGAACAAATTTGTCGCATTTTCTTGTCTCGAGCGGCCCTTGGAAGCAAATGGCGGCACAGCACTGAAATGAGCGGGCCTTGGAAGCGAATGGCGGCGACGCACCCGCTCATGGCATGTGTCTCGCGCGCTTCCACAACAATGGTTGGCGGTACTTGTAAAAAACGCTTTTATCAAGGGGCTTTAAGCGCCCAGGGGATCTCAAAACGTTCTACACATAGTGTTGCTTGTTACCCGGTACGACCGGTACAACCAGGTAAATACTACCACATGGTGTCAGAAGTGCTCCGGAAATGGAAGCCTCATCGTACTCGGAGAACGTAACGGCCCCAACAAGACTGCTAGCAACGGGTTTCACGGCGCCGGCAGCCTTTGATTTCAAGCGCCCAGAAGAATGGCCAAGGTGGATCACCCGTTTTAACAGGTTCCGTAGAGTTTCGAAACTCGATAAAGAAGACGAAGGATCGCAAGTAGACGCATTAATCTACTTTCTCGGTGAGGACGCGGAAGACATTTTGTCCGCCTCGGCTTTGACCGACACCGAACAGCGACAGTTCGAAACAGTTGCCCAACTCTTCGAAAGCCACTTCGTCGGCAAGAGAAACGTTATCTACGAACGGGCCAAGTTCCACCAGAAGAAGCAAGAGCCGGGTGAATCTGTTGAGAGCTTCATGACTAGCCTGCATCGCCTAGTAACACATTGCGGCTACGGCGCGTTGAAAGAAGAACTCGTCCGCGATCGTTTTGTCGTTGGATTGCAAGATTCTTCGCTCTCAGAAAAACTTCAAAGCGACCCAAATCTGACACTGGAAGCTGCGTACACTCGAGCTCGACAGAAAGAAGCCGAGCATCGACAGCAAGCCGTCGTCAGAGGCGAGTCCCAAGCAGAATACATGACGCTGGATGCCCTCCCCAAAAGAATGTCAGCAAAAGAGAAAGGCGCAAAGCGGCGAGAATACACGCCGAAAAACGCTGAAAATAATGCGGCTAGAACACAGACGTGTGGAAGATGTGGTAGCAGTGCACACGAAAAGCCCAAGTGCCCCGCAGCGGGATCAATCTGTCGCAACTGCGGAAAAAAAGGTCACTGGCAACAAGTTTGCTTTAAGAAGCTTAGGAATGAGGGCAAGAGCACTCTAAAAGAGGTGACTCTACAGGACCCAAATGAAGCGCCAAACTGGATGATTGGAAGCATCCACGCAGCTGAAGGAAGTGCGTGGAAAGTCAAACTGCGAGTCAACGGAACGCCTGCTACGTTCAAGATAGACTCTGGTGCAGACGTCAGTGCCATGCCTCCTAACACTGTCCCAAGCAAGGTGACCCTTGAGGAGACAGCTGCCAAGCTCTACGGTGCGAACAGGCAGCAATTCGAAGTGTTGGGCAAGTTTCAAGCGACAATACAACATAACAATAAGTCTATACAGCACGTGATCTACGTAGTGAACGGCCTGGAAGAGCCCTTTTGGGAAGAAAAGCCAGCAGCGAATTGGAGCTGATCCAACTTCTGTGCACAGTCTCGGGCCAAACAGCCAAGAGGTACCATGAACAATACCCTGAGTTGTTTCAAGGTCTCGGAGAAATGGCAGGAGAGTACAAAATCCAACTCTCGAAAGACGCCACGCCAGTCTCCGTCCACACATCACGGCGTGTACCCCTGGCACTGGTGACGAAAGTACAAGAGCAGCTGGCAAGCATGCAGAAAGATCGAATCATAAGGAAAGTTGAAGAGCCTACACCATGGTGTTCTGCAATGGTTGTTGTGCCCAAGCCGAACGGAGAAGTACGGATCTGCGCGGATTAGACGCACCTCAACAGGAACATAGAACGCGAAAAGCTAGTTTTGCCCTCTATCGAAGAAACACTGGGACGGTTGTCACGCACATCACTATACACAAAACTAGACGCCAAGTCCGGATTTTGGCAAATTCGGTTGGCAGAAGAGTCACAAACTATGACCACCTTTATCACACCTTTTGGCAGATTTTGTTTTCAACGATTGCCGTTTGGAATTTCTTCCGCCCCAGAGTATTTTCAACGAAGGATGAACGAAATCCTGGAAGGAATCCCAGGAGTCCTATGCCATATGGACGACATCCTAATCACTGGTGCCAACGAGAAAGAGCATGATGAGAGGCTAGAGGAAGTCCTTAAGAGGTTGAAAGCAGCAGGTGTCCGACTCAACGACAAATGCGAGTTCAAGCAAAAGTTCATAAAGTTCTTGGGACACATCGTCAGCCAGGAAGGGATCAAGCCAGACCCACAAAGGGTCACAGCCATCTCCAATATGCCAGCGCCAACGACAGTGACCGAGGTGAGACAATTCATCGGAATGGCAAACCAGGTAGGACGCTTCATCCCCCATCTTTCGGAAAAATTGAAGCCTCTGCGTGACCTTCTCAAGAAGGCAAGCGAGTGGACGTGGGACACTGCACAGAAAACAGCATTCAATGCAGTGAAGAAGGACATCCAGGAGGCAACAGCCCTAACACGGTATGATCCGCAACAAGAAATTATCGTTTCAGCAGATGCTTCGTCTTACGGTTTGGGGGCAGTGCTACTACAAAAGGACAAGAACGGAAACACTAGACCAGTAGCCTTCGCTTCGAAAGGACTGAGTACCACAGAAACAAAATACGCACAGATTGAGAAAGAAGCGTACGCCGTGACATGGGCATGTGAACGACTCGAGAAGTTCCCGCTAGGAACGCAGTTTCACATCCAAACAGATGCGATTCCTGCCAGAGTTCAGCGATTCAAACTGCGGCTGATTAGATTCTGCTACACAATCTCACACGTGCCTGGAAAAGAACTCTGGACGGCCGATGCCCTGTCAAGGTCACCTTTTGAACCTCCAGACAATATGGAAGAAGAAACCGAGGCTTTTGTTCAAGTCGTCCTTCAGTCAGTCCCTGCATCCCGGGAGTACCTGATCGAGGTAAAGAAGATGCAAGAGGACGAACCCGTTTGTACTAAAGTGAGGGAGTACTGTGAAAAAGGGTAGCCAACTAGCAAGCAGCAAGTGCCAATCGAGATCACCCCATATTTCCAAGAAAGACACAACCTCACGGTACAAGAAAACCTACTCGTGAGAGGCAACCGCCTTGTGATACCAAGTCAAATGAGGAAGCAAGTCTTGCACCGACTGCACGATGGCCATCAGGGTATCTCGAGATGCCGGCAACGAGCCAAGATGTCAGTTTGGTGGCCAGGACTAAGCTCTCAGATGGCTGATGTTGTCACAAACTGTCTCAGCTGCGCACACGAGCGGGTACCAAAAACACAGCCGATGATCGCGTCTGAGCTACCAGAGAGACCATGGCAACGAGTTGGGACCGATTTGTTCGAGTTGAAAGGAGCCCAATACCTGCTCGTCGTAGACTACTACTCGAGGTACGTGGAAATAACCAGACTGAGACAAACCACTTCAGAAGCAGTCATATCACATCTCAAGGCTCGATTTTCACGTCACGGAATACCTGAGGTTCTGCGGTAAGACAACGGTCCACAATTCAGCTCCAAGCCATTCGAAGGCTTCTGTAAGGATTACAAGATCGAGCACGTTACAAGCAGTCCACGTTATCCGCAAAGTAACGGGGAAGCTGAAAGAATGGTCAAGATAGCCAAAGACATCATCAAGAAGTCTGAAGATCCCGAGCTTGGATTACTGGTCTACAGAACAACACCAGGACCTTCTGGATACAGTCCGGCACAGCTTCTGATGGGAAGGCAGTTGCGAACCACACTGCCAGTATTGGCTTCTACACTCTTGCCAAGACTGCCCAACCATGAGGAGTTCCGGAAGAAGGATCGAGAAGAAAAAAGTAAGCAAGCGGATAACTACGACAAGAGACACGGAGTGTGCCGAAAACAGGAGTTAGATATCGGCAGCGAGGTATGGGTAAGAGACAGTAAAGCAACTGGAACAAAAACGGGCAAGAGACCAGAACCTCGATCCTACACTATCAGGACAAGGTCAGGATATCTCAGCCAGAATACACATCACCTGGTTCCAACCAAACACAAACCAACCGACCAAACACATCCTGAAGCAAGCACACCAGAATTCAGTGTTCCTCCTACAGAACAAAACATCCCAAAGACCCGGTCCGGACGGACCATAAGAAAACCAAAAAAATTTGGCGAATGATTTTTGCGTGGGAAGAAGAGATGTAATAATATTGTTTTGTAAGTCCGAATAAATGGGGCAAGTAGGGGGGACAAAAGAAGAAGAGGACACAGCGCCCAGGGGATCTCAAAACGTTCTATGGGGGATCGGTGGCCGAGTGGGCTAGCGTACACCAGCTCGGAGCACGTGGAGCGAAAGCTCGCGCTGCAGAACCCAGGGATCCTGGGTTCAATCCCCACCCCTGCCCGTTTCGATCTGGATGAGCATCGTACCGGCGTGCGGTCGTGTATCACTACTGCGTGGTGCACGTTAAAGACCCCAGGCTAGCGGTTGTACTGCACTGGCTAAATTGCTCATCTACAGCTGGGAGACTCGTCGCCCCTGTGAGGCAGACCAAGTTCTAGGCTGTATAAACATACCACACAACCCAATTTTCAAAACGTTCTACACGTAGTGTTGCTTGTTACCCGGTACGACCGGTACAATCAGGTAAATACTACCACAGCACCTCCCATGGAAAGCGGGCGAAAAGTGATTGCAGCGCCCCTGGCGAGTTCAGAGTCTCCGCTAGCAGAAGAATTCCCCACAACGGAATGGTTTTGCCTATCTCTGTGCGAGATGACCACTGAAAAGAACAAAACAATTATCATGGGCATTCGCTGCTTTGAAGGTTAAAAAAAAAGGTGCCACCTCATGGGTGAAGGACATTGTTTTCAAGTGGGAATGATGTTAGAGCTATCAGGGGTCAATTTCGGGACTCTCCTAAAGAAAACACACTATCACAACTTATGTAACCCAGACAAAACAAGAATGTACCTTCGCGCTGTTTTATTTGTTAAAAGGGAATCAGCAAAAATTTTAGAACAAAGCTACGTTTCGATTTTGCTGTTCGTATCATTCAATTCGTTTTGTTGTTGCAATTCGCATTTCTTATGAATGTCTTGCTTATAACCGTTTTGTCGAATAGGCGAGCTGGCTAATCCTGTTAAGATCGCCTCCAGATAAAGAAGCAAAAGGCAATTTCGAACCACGTATGTTTCTGCGACGTCAGTATGCTATGAAAGAAGTCGATTGTGCACATGCAAATTTGACGCTATTGCAGAAATTAATAAAAGCAGAGTTTAAAAAAATGCAGACTTATCGCGCGTTCAAAAGAAGAAAAAAAAGAGGAGGGCGTCGTAGCGGAAATAAAGGCGATTTGGGTCACGTTTTATACGGTGCACAAATTTCGATTGTTAGCGCCGAGACGACTAGCGTCTTCTGCGTCTTCTGTGATAAAGGCCGACACCCGTTGGACCGTCTTTCAACTCCGTCCATTTTTGAAAGTCCACTTTCTTTTTTTACATTTGAGGCGACGCTACGCTGGCACGGTCTCTTTTCCTCCTACTTTTATGTTATTTTTCTCTTTTGTTTGCTTGACTTTGGAACCATCGCGATCTTGCTTTGCCTTGTTTGGCTTACTGTTTACTCTCTTTCCTTCGCTTAGGCTCTTGCCACCGCTGGTTCGTCTGCTACGCTATGCCGAGACATTTTGAGGGCTGTCGGCAACCTTGTTGTTGTTGTTTTTTCTTCCACTGTTGCCTGCGATAACCACCTATTTTCGCCTTCGACTGAGTTTCTAATCCGAAATCTTCATATGTCCTTTTTGATATTTATTAAATATATTCAAATGTGTAAGCTCGTTATACATTTCTATTTGAATTTTGTTTGTGTACGCGGGCACATCGGCTATGGGTCATAATTTGATGAACAACTGACCGCCTTCGGGCATACTTCAGCGCATACTTGGAGATGGCAGGCATGCCATGTGTTGCCTACCATTGCAAAATAAAGTTCTTTGAGATGTGGGGAAAAATCCTTGTTCTGCTTCCCGAAGACCGAACATACATGAGTAATTAAGTTACTGCAGCATTCAAATCAAACTGGAAGAGCTATCAAAGTCTGGCTTCAAAATCGGCACTGACGCCTCAATCGACGATTATGACAACTCCGCGGAGATCACGGAGAACTTCACGGACGACAGAGCAGATGCACAACTGAACACCAAATCTTATGTAGCCGTGTGGGCAGTCAGTCAGATCTGTCATCATGCTTGCAAAGTCCAACTGCAATCATAAACACGGAACATCTCGAAAGAGATTCTGTTGAAGACCGAGAAGTATTCGCATGCGAAAATGACACCACTTTCCGACTTAGCTCGTCACCTAGCCTGTAACATCAGACGTGCTTTTACACACATTTCACGGACATAATGCACCAGACAAGAGTTGAGCTGAAGGCGGATTTGAGGTCGCTGATCGTCACTCGAAACAAAGGCATGGTGTACAAAGATTGCCTGGGCAAGTACGTGAACAGGTACTTGAAGGTACT